AAATGGGAATGAAATCGGAAATGAGGATAATCAGAATCAAAATTTGAATTAAAATAAAAAATGAGTTTGTGGAAAAACTCTTGGAATCAAAATGGGACTGAAATCAGAAACAAGAATAATCGAAATCGAAATTGGAATTAGAATAGGAAATGAGCTTGTCGAGAAACTCTTGGAAAAAAAGGAGAACGACATTGTTTTTTTAGAAGGTTTGGGGAGATGCTTTCTAGTTCCCTTTGTTGCCCTTTTCCTTTTTTTTAGTTAATCTTAGTTTAGTTTTAGGCGCTGTTTCCATCCAGCCCTTTTTTAATTAATTTCTTGCACTTGTCAAATAAAATGTAAGAAGTTACTTGTGTTTTGTAAAATGCTGATATAATAAAACAAGTAAAAAATGCAGCCAATGAGTCTCTCTTTTTATTTTTTGGGTAGTGTGATCCTAAGGCCTGGGGCCCATGTTTAACCTTTTTGCCTGGCGTTTGGTGCAAACGCAAAAATAAAAATGCAGCCAATGAGTCTTTTTTTTTTTTGGGTAGTGTGATCCTAAGGCCTTGGGCCCATTTTAACCTTGCCTTTCAAGCCCTCAAAGAAGGTAGTAGACAGTAGTCCCCTTGTGAGTCTGCTTTCCTTTTTAAGACCCATGGTGCTCAGCACTGCTCAGTCTTATTCTGTTGGTGGCCCAAAAAACACCCGAATAACGAAATGATTAAATGTGAATTTTGGTCCCTCAATTTTAGGTTTTTGTTAGTTTTAATCCCTTAATTTTTTATGCAATTTTTAGTCTCTCAATTATAAAAAAATACACTTTTATTTTTCAATTAATTTGTTAAGTATATCTATATATGCACATTTTTAGTTCATAAACTTTTAAATTGAGGGACAAAAATTATGTAAAATTCTAAAGTTAAAGGATTAAAAATATGTATATATAAATAAACTTAATAGATTAGCTAATAAAAGGATTAAAAAATATAATTTTCATTGTTAAAAGACCAAAAATGCATATAAAAAATTAAGAGATCAAAACTATTTAAAACCTTAAATTTAAGTGACCAAAATAGGCATTGTCCTTCCCTAATCACATGGTTATGTAGAAAGTAATTAGTAGTTTAAGTTTTTTCTTTTAATATTTGATAATGGATTATCTGAAACAAGATAGCTCTTTCTTCTTTTTTTTTTTTAAAAAAAATTTTAATTATCATTCAAATATTATTTAAAATTATGTGAAAAAAAATAAACAATGTATATTTTGAAAAGAAGGGAAGTAACCAGAGAAGTATCTGAACTATCATTAGAGAAAAAGTGCAAATAAAGATATAAACTTCATACTTTTTTATTTTAAAAATGTTAATTTTATTAGTTTCTAAATAAGAATATTAATTTTTAATTTTTTTTATTTAAAAATAT